GGGGGGGGGGGGGGGGGGGGGGGCTCGGCGTCGTCATCTGCGTGCGACTGCGAGCTCCGAGACGTGTTTTATCAGGCGCCGATTGTCCGTGTCAAATTAAAAGAAGTCCTGTCACAATAAAGATTAACGATGTCGTTTCTGGGGTTGTTTCTGCGGGGGAACTCGGCGACTGCACGATGAGCGGCGGCGAAGTGTGCGGGACAAACTGCGCTCAGGGTTTCGGACTCTTAACTGCGGACTCGTGTTTTTAAACTTGTTTACGTCGAAGCGCTGTCGAGGGGAGGAAAGGTGAGCAGCCCTCTTTTAACGATAAAACACAACGCGAGACCCGCTCTTTACCCGGGCTAACGTGAGCTGGAGCCGTGCTAGTGTGTATATTAACATTAGGAAGCCTTGCTGCTGAAACATGACACTTATATTGTGTGTGTGTGTGTGTGTGTGTGTGTTTTAACTCTTCACACAGTTAAAAAGCAACTTGTGATAAAAATAACGGGACCTTAAATGAGATAATTAACCTGTATGTTAAGTGACATTAACTGGCTTCGTCCTCTGATTAAACTAAAATGGCTGCAGTTAATGTAACCTTGAAGTGGAGTTTGATTATTGCATTACAGGATTATCATTATTATTATTATTATTATAATACATGTGGAAGCTGCACTGCACCACCGACACTAAACACAGACAGCTGAATTAAATGATTACTCATTTATTCCCTGTCGCCCTCTGCACACAAACACTGTCTCCAGGTTTTCATTCATAATTTCCCCCTCTGATGTCAGTCGCATCTGTAGATCAGCTGATGCAGCCAGGTGAACTGCAGGCGGATGGATGAATGGCTGAAGTTGGACGGACGCTTTCTAGTCTCGCTGTTTGTCTCGTATTGCACCTCCTCCTCCTCTTCCTCCTCCTCCTCCTCCTGTCTCCCTCCATCGCGGTCGGTCTCCTGCGGCCTGTGAGCGGATGAATGCCAGAGCCTGTGTTTCTTCTACCATCGCCAAAAGGACTCCATGTCTTTCTTGGTAAGGATGTCACGCTGCATGGTTTTAGCTTTTTTTGTGACCTGATGGATACAGTCACGAATCATTTGGCTCATGCTGATGCCTCTGGTGGGGGGATTTAAATCAGTATTTAAAGTGTCTAAATATCTGATGATTACATTTCTGAGTTATATGACCTGTCAGATATTCTTTAGATAAATTATGAAAGGTGTAACCCCTTTTACATATATATAAATAAATATAATGGGCTAACATAGATTGGAAACCAGGATTATATTGGCTCTCTGTGCATCCTTCATATCTAATGGGCTCATCTCATAATGTATGCAGCTCTTATCTTGCTCTGCTGGGACACCGTCAGCTGCCTCTGTGTTGTTGCCTGTTGTAATTCTCTTTCCACTCACCACTTCTGATAAAAAGCCCTCTTAAGTGCCTCCACAGCCCCGTATTCCCCCGATGCTTGCCTCTCTGCCACATCTCCCAGCCTCCCCACAGGCGGCGTATCTGTCACCCTCCACTCCCAAGCTCCATGTTTCCCCTCTCCACTCCTCCTTGTCGTGTCGGGCATGTCTCACCTGTGCTCCTCCCCCCCCTTCACCAGGACTGTTCCTGCATCTCCCACGCTCAGGTCCAGCCCTTGGACATAGAGGAGCGCTATGAGGACACCAGCCACCAGTTCCTGGTCAGTAGCCGAGACACTGTCAGCACGGAGACAGGCGTCACACTGAAGCTCTTCCATCATTTCATCACTATTCATTTATCATCATCTATGTGGAGCTGCTTAACCCTTACCTTAGAGACCGTAACTACTGGATTAGTATCGCAGCTGTTAGAGCTGTTGGTAACTCTTAAAGGGGTACTCCACCTGTTTAACTAATTGGGGGGACTCACCAGAGACAGATTAAAGCAAGAGCAGTCACAATTGGTGTAACAGAGGCCAAGATGTCCTGATTTCATGTCCTCCCCATGACGGCTCAAGCTCCACAAACCGTGAATACTACAACTCCCATAATGCAACTTGTTTTGTTTTTCATTGGGACTTTTTTCTATGGCTGCTGAGCGCCCTTGTCTCTCATACTCCCAATCAATAACACAGGCTTTTTGTAATGAATTTGTAATGAAGTCTCAAGCCCGAGTCCAGATAACGCAGATGACATCACTGTGACATCATCAAGCTGGCCTTGCAGACAGTGGTCATTCGACCGTCCCAGCTCCTCAGCAGGGGCCAACAGACCAACACACACACTCTCAACGACCACGCACACATAATTATGCATCTCATACCTCAAATGGCGAAACTAAACTCAACAGCCAAAATCATACAGCAAATACCCATACAACGATAAGATGGACTTATCAAACGCTGCACTGCAAATGATGAGCAATCTAATTCTCTCTATAGGAACCTTCATTCAAATCTCCTGCTGCTCAACGTCGCACCAGTGACAGAACATGAAAGCACAATCATCCTCGGCTCTCGCAACCCACTCCTTGTCAACCTAAAAACCTAAGAACTGGAAACCACAAGTAGCTTAAACAGCAAGGTATAACATGCAAAGAACAACCTACTGAGCACAATCAAATCAAAAAGCCTGCGTTTATTATTATTTCTACGACCAATCCACAAGTCATACACACTGCCTATCGACTATTCTAGACGGATGGTCGCGCTAGATTGCAAAGTTACAGGGATCACCCCAACAGTTTTAAAATGGGATACTTCTTGTACTGACAGAATATCTCTGGCAGTCGTGCCAGTCTTACTAACTTCCACCTATGACTCTCTTACTGATGTGAACGGAGGTGCTCAAAAGGGAGGGGCGTTGGGGGGGGGGATCTTGCAGTCTATTAGTGATAACAGAACAATGCGATTTTCGGAGGAACGAGTCTCGGATTTCCCTTCTCCAGCATCAGACTAGCTGAGGCGTCTCATAGGATGCCGCTACTATCCTCTGTTTTAAAACACCCCTGCTGGAATGTGTTTTAATGGGTTTCACCAACTCAAGCCTCAGCAACTAATTGGTCTGTATCACTGTGAGGGCGGGGCCGGCCGGGGGGAGATGACCTCACAACACTTCACGCGTCAAATATTTAAATAGTTTATAATAACGATTAACCATAAACCATAATCATTAAAGTATACTGCCAGTACGCAAATGATTTCTAAGTGCCAAAATACAGAGATACAGATCTTAGCACATAACGTACTCATTATAGACTATAATATTTTTTTTCCAGAGAGGCTACGACCAATCATATAAGATTTTTTTGTAATTTTGTCAAGCCTGAGAAATATACTCC